CGATGGTCCCGTACGGAGCGAGCGCGAATCCCGTTCAAAGTGGTCCATAATTTATGTATCCACCGGCCGCCTCCCTGTTTATCGTTGGAGATTCTATGTGTCTCTTTTAAAATTCCATTAAGGAGTACAGCGGCACTTTTTTTGTTCCTCCATATCTCGTTGTCTCGTCCGACCGCGAGAAGGGCCGGCAGGACTGGCTTCTTCTCGCGATTGATTATTCATAACGCTTGTATATCTCGGACGAAGACGATCGCGATAAGATTGCGGGTCGCCGATATCCAGGATGGAAGAGGGGTCTTAATCCAATCTACGGGCAGTTCACGTCGTAGTCACGCTGCTTCTGGCAGCGTAATTTTAGACAGTACCCGCAGTGACAGTCTTTATAACGCACGTGAAGTATGAACCACTTCCGGTGGATCCGCGTCATGTCCCCTCGCACTCCAGTGGCTCCGATTCTAAATCTGGACAAGCAAATTTCCGTGGCCTTTAGCCCCGCGTGTCGCACCGACTCAAACCACTCGTCGATCGTCGACTCTCACAAAATACATATTCCTAAGCAGAACAAGTCATCATGATAACATTTATCATAATTTATTGAAAAGTGACTTTTTCTTAGTTATCATTTTGGAACCATGATGACTTGTCTATTATTTAGCATTATTAAGATCTTCCTGAGATGCCTATGAGCATCAAATTATTAAATTGTTAGACAATTTAATTTGTGGTAGTACTATTGTTCTATCGGTATAGCATTTTAAGACCGAAAAATTAATTCGGCGCGCAGTTTGACAGAATTTGATATGTAAATATAATAGTATATAAATTCATATCAAATTATTCAAACACCAAAGATTCAGTTTCAACCGTTATGGGTCCTATTTTCTATTGATTGTATTCTATTTTGCAGAATAGGAATTTAATAGTTGTTTGAGCTGTCATTATCATTGAATAATACTACGAACGTACTAATTATATCGCGCCGCATCGATATAAGAACAAAATCGTATCTAGATTACACAAAATTATATTTAGTTTACCAATTTAAATTATAATTTTAGTAAATTTATTTCATGTGAAATTTAATCACAATTTTACAATTGTTACAACGTGACCGATCTAGATGTACGGCGCATCGAGATTCTATATCGTCCGCGATAGATAATCGGCCGAAGAGCGATTACGGGGTAAATATGTTTCGGTAATTGCGTGGCTAAGTTTAGGCGGTGCAGTTGGCGTCAATGCGCGGATGCATATTCAGAACGGGGCTCCTCATATTCTTATGCTCACTTACTAAACCGCCGCGTCGCGTGTGGATGTGAATGTGAATGGAACTTGCTGGCACCCCGCCTGTTTATATTTAGCCACTGTGGGCGGTATAGCTGTCACAGATACGTATCATCGGCATAACTGAACTGTGCAAATGAATAATGAAGTTCCAGTCCCTTTCTCTCTCTCTCTCTCTCTCTTTCTCTCTTTCTCTTGCCTATTATAGATGCCGCGAACCGAAGATGTTACCCGAATTGGCGTTACCCGGTCGCGACTCATTGTCTCCCGGTGGCCGATCCCTCGCGCCACCGAAGCGAACGCGACACATGTGGTCTCAATGAACGCACATGCGCTCATTGGAACGCTCGCAGGGACATAAACGCACAGTTCGGCAGCCTTTGAACGGCTTGTCGTACCAACGACACATCGTAAAAGATTGTAATGGCAGCGAGTACAGAGAATGAAGACTAGTCATACGATACTCTTAATCCCGTAATGACCGCTTTGTTAATCCCACGGCTTAAGACAGTATATATATTCTTTGTTGTACATCAAGCCTAATTCCTATGCATTATTGAAAAATGCTTTTTGTCTTTATTGATTAATACGAAAAAATGTAGGAAAAGATAGAGATATATAAACAGTAATAAGTTAAAACAAAACTGTTATATAAATGAATTAACCACCAATGGAACTTCGTGAAGTGTCAAATTCTGAAATTTTGTATATTTGTACTTACATAAATAGATGAATTTGGAAAATATTAGCAGCAGCAAATAAACGTTTTTAAGGAATGAAATCATCATCCCTTATATGAAAAGCAGTTTCAACTTTTATATTTTCATCTATTTATGTAAACTATAAGTACATAAAGTTTCAATAGAATTAGAATTTGATATATCGCAAAGTTCCCTTATAAATAAGAGAAGTGCCAACTAGAATCAAAGTTATATTATATATATGTATATATGTAATAAGATTAAAATTATGTAACTTTTAATTAGAATTAATTATTATAACTTTATTAAACAAATTAATATCGAAGTTATTATAACTTTATTATTCCTTTTCTAAATCGCAATTCAAAATATATATATCAAGAAAAAAATGATTTTAATTAAAAGTACATGTATATTTAAAAATTTAGCTAAATATAGATCCGGAAATAATTTTGTTTGGATCATCAAAATAATTATGTTGAACGCTCAAATTAGTCAAAATGTTTAAATTTTTTGCAGTAGTATCATCAACGCTTAAGCGTTTTACATAATCATTTTAATGATTCAAGAAAATTATTTTCAGATCTATATTTAGCTAAATTTTTAGATACTTCAGCAAAATCATTCTGCAATGTATAGAGAAAGAATAATTGACTTTTATTTGTTTAAAATTAAATATCGGTATTTGTACATAGGTTTTAATATAGTTGAAAAACATACTGTTCATATCGACAAATGACCGACATATTGACATCTTGCGCTTCGCACATTATAATCATTTCGCGCGTTAATATATTAGAATATGCTGCTCATACATCCACGTTTTTTTTTTCGCTCTATCGTTTTTAATAATCCGCAGAAACCAATAAGAAGTATCCGGCAATGTCCAATCGACGCGGAAGGTCACGCTTATCATCGCTTGTGCAACGCGGCATGTTTTTGCGCGGATTTTTGTGTCGCCCTGCAGTTTTTATTTTCCGCCATAACTATTTATAAAATATAAACCAGCGTTTTGCTACGTCAGTTCTACGTCTCAACGATAAAGTTCCCGAGA